ATTTGTTTTTAATTACTTGATTATCACGTTTACTGTTGATATTGATTTATATCGTTTAATGTACTCATAAATGATTGCTTATGTTTTATACGAAATGTTTATGTGAAAAGTGTTTTGTTGTAATAATAATATAATATTTTTCTGTCTTATTCTTAGTAATTGAGGTAAAAATACTGTATAATATATGATTTCATAATAGGCAACAACTACTTCATACGTGATAGAAAGAGTAAGCTAATTTATGATTGGCTGATAACTGCGCTAACATTAAAATTAATAACTAATACATTCATTTTTTTTTAAATTTATTATTTTTAAGTCTAAAACTTTTCTGAGAAACATTTGATTCATTAAGCGTTTGTCTCAATTGATGTGAATTTTGCTAATATTGTAGGAAATTATTAAAAATAATATTGTGAACGGATTTAATAGGCTTTTGAAAGTCAGTGTTTGTCCGACCGGTGTTTGCGATGGCTATCGACGACAACCCCAGCGATGGTGTCTATTATGCGTCGGAAGAGTACCGCTCGACGGCTCACATCTCGTCCATCGATGAGTACACAAAACTATACCTGAAGTCAGTCTCAGATCCCGAAGGCTTTTGGATGGAAATCGCGAATCACTTCTTCTGGAAGCGATGGCCACAAGAAGTAGAGGTCGTGTCCTATAATTTCGATGTGACTAAAGGACCCGTTTGTGTGAAATGGTTAGATGGATGTCAAACCAATATGTCTTACAATGTCTTGGATTTGTGCGTCAATAAAGGACTCGGAAATCGTGTCGCCTATTATTGGTTAGTGTTTTACAAATTAATATTTTATAAATACAGTATTTTCAACAAAAAAAATGTGATACCTAAATATTTTGTGTGATGTCTACATTTAATTTCTTAATATTAATAGAAATGATTAAAATTTATACCAAGTGTAGATAGCATTTAAATGTTTATATACTGTATAATATTGATGTTCAATGAAGGTATGCCGCATACCTTAGTGTAGCCACATGTTCAACTAAAATATCTAACTTGAATATAAAAACTTTATATATAATTTTAAATTTTAAACACTAGCCAATAATTACGAATATATAGCCCGTACATTACAAATCGTAATTTATTATTTTTTGAAACATATTTCAATGCTTTTTTGTAATATAAATTTACTATTGTTTACTTACAAGTTAGTACACTATACTACTACAATATATATTTATTTTTATAACAATAGGGAATCCAATGATGATAAATCACACAAACAAATCACTTACAATGAATTACTGCGCGATGTCTGCAAATTTGCAAATGTGTTGAAAGGGTTGGGCATTAAAAGGGGTGATAGAGTGGCCGTATATATGTCGGTGACCATAGAGTTGGTCACTGTTATGCTGGCCTGCGCTCGCATCGGCGCCATTCACTCTGTCATTGTATGTACAGTA